GTATCACTCTTGTGGCAGAGTCTTGATTTTCACAGGCTGCAACTTTGTGTCCTAGAAAAGATGGTCTTTGATGTTATACCTAGAAAAGAAGTCCTACTTGAGAAGGACATTTTGATCAATTTCCCATTCATTAGGTTTTCTGAGAGTTTGCTATTAAGTATTATGGGGGTGGAATGTTTATAATTAGCACTGGCTAAAGCTCTGCTTGCTTTAAACATACATATAATGAATGCTTGGGTTTTATACCCCTTTAAGTAGATCTACTTGTGTTTTAATGAATTTTCTGTGTTTGTCTCATTGTCTGATTTTAGGTGCTGGACATTCGTCTACAGATGCACATTGTCCTCAGATTGACACACAACAGCTTGACAGACAGATTAAAGCCATCATGACAGAAGTTATTCCTTTCCTAAAGGTGAGCTTGCTTTACTTTTCTCTTTAAATTTAAAAATAAATCAACCGTCAAAACTGCAGTTTGTAGACATGCTGTCTTGCTAATGTCTTTCTGCCAGGAGCATGTTGGGGAGGTGTGTTCACACCAGCTGCTCACATCTGTGAGACGCATGGTGCTCAAACTCACTCAGCAAAATGATGAAAGCAAAGAGTTTGTTCAGTTCTTCCACCGACAGCTGGGCGGCATCCTGCAGGTAAGTGCATTTCTAATGTTTTAATTTGTTTGTCCTAATGTAATTAGCTTCTTCTATTCTTTTTTTTATTTTAAATTTTTTTTTAAGTTTACTGACTGTTTTCTTCAATAATTATTTGATTTTTTTTTTTTAGATTAGTTAGTTACTAATTAATTAATTAGTTTTGAGAATCATAATGTGCTCGAATATTTGAGCATGTGATGCCCTAAAATGTAGTCTATGTAGGAAGGCCACTAGTTGGATCGCAGCCTACAAGTTCTTGGTTTTGTGCACAGGACTCCTTGAGTAAGTTTGTTGGGCGGACGCTGCAGGAATGCGGTGAGGACCTGCTGGTGGAGATCTCTGAGATCCTCTTTAATGAGCTTGCTTTCTTCAGACTGATGCAGGATTTAGATCAGAACACCTCTAAAAACAAACACAGAACCAATAGACGCTCTGACCACACATCTCCAAAACACTCACCTCACACCGAGGTAGGCTTGAGTGATTAATCTTCGTCATGTGTGCCTGTAATGATGCTTCTGTGTTTGTGAAGAGAATGATTATTGCATTTTTTTTTATTTAGGAGGCGAAAACACTAGAGAGAGAAAAGACATTCTCCCCATCATATTTTGATGAAGACAGAGTAAGTTATAGTTGTTGATACACTTGCAGCATTCACATAAATACACTAAGCAGCTACACTGCTTCTGAATATAAAGCCCCACAGTCTTCACTGATTTCACACAACAAACAGAGCAGCTGTTGTTCAACTATTGGGTTTTATGTTTGTTTGTTTTTTGTTATTGCGAGCTTAAATGTTTTGAATGTTGAAAATTGACTTTTTTTTATCTTTAGGATCAGGATGAGACTGAGCAGGGAGGGACACTTCATGAGAAGGAAGAGGACAAGGAGAAAGATGCACAGAGCAGTGAAGCATCTGAGGTGGAAGAAGAGGAGGGAGAAGGGATGCCTCTTTCTATAAGTGAGTTTATCTGAAACAAACAGACAGTAAAGTAAACTGAAAAAATTAGCTTGGCTTTGGAAATAAATATACAGTACTGTTTTTAAAAAATGGTTCTGTTTTTTTTTTTTTTAAGGTTTTTGAAAGAAGTCACTTATGCTTACTTACTGGCTGGATTTATTTAAATACACAAAAAAGCAATACTGTGAAATATTATTTTTTGACATTTCAAAATGGATTTTATTCCTTTGGTGGCTGTTACTCCAGTCTTCAGTATCACTATGGTCTTTTAGAAAGTCTTTTGACTTTTAATCATTTTTATGTTTCCTTGCTGAATAAATCCAAATGTAAAAGTGTAATATTACATGTTCTTCCTTTTAATTGGTGTCACTAAAACGCCATCTATGGTGCATTGTGTGTTTACTGTTCTGACTGTTCAACAGTACCCGTTAAGAGTGTTTGCTGGAGGTTGTCTGTCTTATCGTCTACAGGTTGAGACTGTTCTGTAATGTATTTGACTTTGATAAGAATCTGTTTGACTTGTGTGTTGTGTGTATGGTCTTTTTTTTAGGCCTATCTAAAGCAGAGACCCAGGCTCTATGCAACTACGGCAGTGGAGAAGATGAAAATGAAGTGGAGGAGATGGAGGAGTTTGAAGCTGGACCTGTTGAGGTGCAAACATCATTACAAGCCAGCATGGACAACACTAGTGAACACAGACAGGTGTGTTGGCGTTCATACGAGAGAGCAAATAATCTGACTGCTCAAATGACAAACACTAATAATGACCTGTTGTGTTGTTCCAGGGCTCTGCCTTACGAAACGAAGCCCCCCAGGAAACCAAATCAGACCTAGAAAACTCAGAAAGCAGCCAATGTATGCCTTTTTTCTTTATTATACCCTTAACATTTATTGGGGTTTTTACACTCAACTCACTGCATTTTGTCTCCCATTTTCAAACAGTGAAAAGCATAAAATCGGAGTCCAAAGACTTGGTTCAGCCTCCAGAGGAGGGCAGAGAGGAGGCAAAAACTGGTTCAGGAGATGAAAGAGAAAAGGAGGACTGTACTGTTTCACCAGCCCAGGAAACACCACAGAGCTCAGATACAGCCAGTCCCGACACAGAGTCTCCGGTCATGATCAACACTGATGTATGTCTCACTCTCACTGCAAACCCCAGATCATCTTTTCTCATCAAACATCTTTGATTCGTTTATTTAGAATGACCAAATTATTTTTCTCTGATTTTTAAAAAAGGTATTATGTTCGATTTTTTATAATATAGGAGGCAGGATCTGGAAATACAAGCCAGAGATCAGATGAGGAAGATTTTGTGAAAGTGGAGGACCTTCCTCTTCAAATGTCTGTTCTGTGTGAGGTAAAAGCTTGAGTGATCTAGTAGTCATGTTTGCATATTAGTTTATAAACTGTACAAGACATCTCCAAAGAATGCTGCTTTTAAAAAAATGTTCTGCTTGTAATTTGCACAGGAAGAGCTTTGTAAGAGGATCTCAGAAAAGCAGCAAAATATTAACTTAACAGCTGAAATTCTCAATGAAAATAAAGATGAGCTTACAGGATTGGTGGGAAATGCTCAAGCACTCAAAGAGCCGGGTAACAATTAAATGTCACTCAAACCATATGCCATCTGTTCAGACTTCATTTTAATTTTCAAAATGTAAAATTAGAATAAGGTGATAATTTTTGTTCAACAGAACAAAACTTGTTTTGTGTGTGTGTTAATTTAAGAATTCATGTATTGTTTTTTTAAGGTATTGGATATTGAAATTCAGAGCTGAATTACAATGATTTGCTTATCAGCAGATCCCTATGATGGATGAACAATATGTTTTTTTTTTTCCCCCCAGAAACCACTGGAGCCCAGAGTGCATGAGAATGATCTTTTGATCCGTCTTGCACTGCAAACCATCATCCATGCAACATTACTGTATAATGAGCTTAATAATTTAAGATTCATGAAAACAACAGTTAAGCTAAGTCTTGGTGAATTAGCCTGTCAGCATGTGATCTAACAGTTCAAGAGATCTCTCTACACTTGTAAGTACTTTTATTCTGATTGTTTTATGGGGAATGTAGGAGATGATGTTTTGTAGGGGCTTTGTCTTTAAGCTGTTCTGTAGACTGTAAGTACATTTTCTGTGTTTCTCTTTGTTCATCCAGAAATCTCTGTAAAAGCTCCTTCAGAGGCTTCGGTTTAAGGGATGCAAAACATTTTTGTGTTCCTATGTTTGGCATGGTTTGGCTTTTGTTTATGCATTTCTTTCTAGGATTCCTTACCAGACCGCTAGCATTTTTTTGCCAATGCAGTACATAAAGGACAATAGATGTTTGTTCCTCTGATTCAGGACAAAACTTAAGCACATTTGGAAAAACAATATCCCTATTTAAATGTATTTGACACGTCCCAGACTGCACAATGAAATGTGTAATGGATAGAGCAGAATCGCATATTAGCACCGATACGTTGTCTTCTCTTATTGCAATCTTTTAAATGTTTTCTCTTGCTTTCAATCTCACTTTTTTTTAAAGGCATGTTGGCCAATGCTTGGGTTCTCACCCCATTTCACCTCGTGTAATTCTCTGATGTTTAGACTGAGATTTAAAATAAATAAAAAGTTGATTTTTACCATTTCCTGTAGTGATTGCTCTATTTATCCCATTTGCACAAAACCTGCTTTGGTAAGTGCTTATTTTGCAAAATGTTCACTGATTCAGTGCATTATTTATTTCCACGACAAGTACTGTATCTCCATGATTTAGTGATGTTAGTTGTGTAAATTTGTCTACTGCTTAAGTGTACAACTTATGTACATTTGTTTCTTTTGGTTGATCATTTTCCCCTAATGGATTTGTTAGTTAACAGAGTTGATGAGGTTGATTATCAAGTTGTTCCACTGTGCACATTTCTGTATTCTAATATGTGGTTACAAAAAACAAACAAAAATGTCAGTCACATTCACAAAAATTTGACTGAAAAAAATATTTTGTACAATCTGTCATACATATCAATTCTCAGTGCAGTTAATTTTGTTTCCATTACATGCATCTTTAGACAAGTGTTAAAGGGATAGTTCACCCAAAAATGAAAATTTGATGTTTATCTGCTTACCCCCAGGGCATCCAAGATATAGGTGACTTTGTTTCTTCAATAGAACATTGCATTACCGCCACCTATCTCTCAAATGGACCATTGACTCTATCTACAATCTCAATTAGGAGTGTCAATGGTCCATTTGAGAGATAGGTGGCGGTAATGCACTTATAAGTCTGCGATCCACCGTAAAGCAAGAAGAAGAAGAAGACGCGTCACGCTCTGGCTGAAGAAGAAGACGCGAATGTGCTCAGGACAGTTTGGACATTGCGGTGAATCCCTACATCTTGGATGCCCTGGGGGTAAGCAGATAAACATCAAATTTTCATTTTTGGGTGAACTATCCCTTTAAGTAGGCTGCCCTACTGTACCTGTTTGACACGTTAAGCTTGATTAAACCCAACAATGCCCACATGATTTCAAAAGCAGACACTGCAAACTTTTTAAAATGTAAGATTAACCATTTTAAACAGCTAAAATATGAATGACATTTTTCTTTTCCTAAACGTACAAAAGACCGTCACAGTAATGCAGCTTGTCCAGATGGAGTCCCTCACCACGGCATGCAGGGGTTAGGACAGTCACGGATATAAGACTCCAATGTTCCTTTAGACACCTCCATAAGAGTAGTGTATGTGGTCAACTGTACAGCACCATAAAGATAAGTGTTAGACAAACCAGAAAATGAAATATGAAACACTGTAAAAGATGATCAGCCTACTTTATTTAAGACCGGTTTGGTGGACAGCACATCATATACTGTCTTTATGGAGATATCCTGAAAGGATAAAAAAAAAATTTAAAGTTAGAATATTTTTTTAATACCAGTTTAGGTCTATGTTTGCAGTGTCCACACTCACAGCCTGTGTGGTCTGATTCATGCATTTCATAGCAGGAGTTCTGCGGTCATCCAGAAACAGAGGCTCTTTCCAGTGGTCATAGTTAGTCTCCAACACATACCACCTGCCATTCTTCACATCAAGCCTGAAAAACACACAAAGTGTAATGTTAAACTGAAATACTTCAAAGTCACACGTGTTCTTTTAACTATGTGTAGAGAATAGCAATGCTCTCTCACTCCAGTGGATTGATGCTGTGTGTTCTGGATCTGGTGATAATGCAGGCTTGACCCGGCTGGTTTCCTCCGAGGATGAAGTACGCTGGAGCCAGCAGCTTCGTGTCAGACAACAGAGCCTTGGCACTTTCATAGCTAAAAGAACACAGCATCCAAATTATCATCATCTTTATAAGCCAAAGAGACATCCGTCTGATTCTTTGGTTTCATATTTCAATATCAATAAATAAAGTAATAAGCATTAAAAAAAAAAATCACCGGTCAAAATTTAACAAAAACAAATTTTTTTGGAAAGAACTCTCATTCTCACCAACAGTAATATTGTAAATTATGATTACAATTTAAAATAACTATTTTCTATTTTACTATATTTTAAAACTACTATGCAAAGCTGACAGCCATTTCAACAGCCATTACCCCAGTCTTCAGAAATCATTCTAATATGCTGATTTGGTGCTCAATTATTAATTATGGTTCTTATCAATGTTTTTGCTGCATTCTATTTTTGTGGACACCATAATAGAATATTACTGTTTTACTGTATTTTTCATCAAATAAATGCAGCCTTTGTGAGCATAAGAGACTCCTTTCAAAAACATTTTAAAAAATCATAAGTACAAACTTTTGACCGTAGTGTGTAGGTAAAACTTATAAAGAGTATAAAATATAAAACATTATAAAGTGATTCTAAATGCATAATAATGCTTTATACTCTATTACAAAAATACGATTGCAGTTACAATTATTTCAGAAAACAATGCACCAGAATGTGTATTTGAAGTAATAATTAATTTCTTAAAATTACATTTGTAAAGCATTCTAATGCATAAATATATATTAATATATTTATCTGTAGCCAACCTAGTTGCATTCTCCAGCACAGAACGAGTCAAAAAACTCATCCACATGCCGTCTCTCTTCCCCAAGATCCACTCCAGAATCCCTGTAATAACAATAAAACTAACATGCATCTACCAAAGATCTGAGCAAATAAAATAAATACACGTATATGAAGAAAATAAAAACCTGCAAAGCTTCAACATATTTCTGACAATGCCTCATATGACTCAGCAAATATCAGGCAAAGGCTTACCGATGTAGCCTCCATCCAGAGTGAATCGTTCATTCATAGTGAGGGTGAATGAGCGCTACAAAGAAAACAGAAGACAGAGAGACACTGAGAGACAGAAGCAACGTGATTACTGACCAACAATCCATTCTTTCACAATTCTCCTTCCTGCTAAATTGCAGAAGCCAAACTAAAAACAATGTCAGAGACAAAAGCTCATTCTGAATCTTGTCACCATGATTTATAATCCATTCTCGTATAATAATCTCAGATTGCTCATACTGATCTGAGCTCTGTCCTTACTGGATGAATCCCGGTCAGCATGCCCACATATCCTGCAAAATTAGTTGATTTAAAGACAGTCTGGTTGTTGCGTCTGAAGTCAATGTTAACAACCAGTGGCTTCAGCTTCTCTGTGATGATCCACGACCTGTTCTTCAAATCCCATCTGTAAGCAGAGCAGACCACGGAACAATATGAAATCTTCATGTTTTGATTTCAGTATTAAAGTCTTAGATCTTTGAGTTCAGCTCATGAAAAATGGGGGCAAAAACAAAAGTGTTGCGTTTATAATTTTCTTCAGTGTATAAATATACATTCATCCCCACCCCCCAAAAAAAATTAAGGAAGTAGGTTAACAACAAATGTCAAAACAACATTAAACTCACCCCATGAAAAGTCCAAAGTCCAGGTTCCTTGCATGGATGAGATTGCCTACAATAAAAACAAACTAATGTGTCCTACATGGCACAACTTCAAACAAAATATTCTCATATCATAGTTATTGGTTTAGTTTACAATAGATGTTTTTTTTTTGACTGCCATTCAAAAGCTTGGGGTCGGTAAATTTTTTAAGTAGTCTCATGCTCACCAAGATGGAATTTATTTGATCAAAATGAGTGTAAAAACAACAATAAACATAAGCAATGGATTATTATTGCAATTTAAAATAACCATTTTCTGTAGAGTGGTGCTGGTATGACATCAGAACCCGGAAAACTAATTTGCCGCTCGTTCCTTAAGACATTTTCCTAAGGGGTTTTATAAAGGGTTTTTTCAATTTAAAGCCTGTGGTAAACATAACTTGATGATTCTTGGATGTTTTGTTCTACAACATAAACTGCACACGCTGACATCCCAAGCTGTCTCATCTAATTACTTATTAGAAACATACATTTTCAAAAATAAACATAACTGGTTCAAAATTTGCGTGCTTGATATGGGAGTGTGTAATTTACATTGTAGAACAAAACATCAAAGTATCAAGTTATGTTTGCCACAGGCTTTATTTCACTCATAAATCGAAAAACCCCATTATAAAGCCCCATAGGAAAATCTCTAAGGAGCCAGTGGCCAATTATTCTTCCGGGTTCTGACATCATACCAGCACCACTCTGTTTGAATATATATTTAAAATATAATGTATTCCTGTGATGCTAAAGCTGAATTTTCAGCAGCCATTACTCCAGTCTTCAGTGTCATTACGTGTGAAATCAAGTGCTCAAGAACCATTTCATATTATTATTTTGTTATAAGTGATTCATTTTTTTTCGAGATTCTTTGATTAATAGAAGGTTAAAAATATTTTGTAGCATTATAAAAGTTTTACAGTCACATGATCAATTTAATGTATCTTACTAAATAAAAGTATTGATTTCTAAAAAACAAAAAATATATATATATATATCTTACTGACCCTAAACTGGTACTGTATGTAATTTAATGGGTATCTGATATTTTAGAACATAGATATAGATTATAAAATATTATAAAAAGATGAAAATAATGTTATCTCTGATGATATCCTCACCATTGACATCCTCTGCAACCAGAGACGTGCACACGGTGAACACCTCATAAAATATGTTGAAGAGCACCACCTCACCTGAGTCACAGAGAATAAAATCTATTAAATATAGATTTTATTTAACAGTGTTAAACATAATAGTATTGTTTTAATGCATTCATACCCAAAGAAACACCAGACGCTGATGCGATTCCTCTGATCTCCTCATTGAACGGGTAAGGCAGGGTGTCCACCATCAAGGGCTGGGGACAAAACACATCACAGTCCTGTTAACAAACACTGTTAGGCAGAGTAATTACTGTCTAAATTATTCATGTAGATGAACGGTGACAGGTACTGTATACAGTATGTCTGCAAGCTATGAGATTTAAGATTGCAGTATACATAAGTCAATCATGATTAAGCATCATACATAGTTCGACTGATGAGATTCTTTAATAACTCACCAAATCCTTATCTACTAGATCGATGAGCTTTCCACTGGGAACAAAGGCGTCTGCTAGATCTCTGATAGCCTGAATCATGCTCACCATCTAAAGGCAAAGCACATGAGCTCTTGAGTAATGTTCACCGAGAGCTGCTCAAGATCATCTGGTTTTAGTTTTGTGGAATTCCAGGATTTCACTTCCATTTCGGTTCACAGTTCACATAAAAGTTCACCAATACATAAACTAGACTTCTACTAATCAAGTGAATAGTCTGTCACGGCAAAACAACTTGCAGTTCTTTTGTTGCTAGAAGTACATTCATAGACAGAGCATTGAACCAGTATAATGATATAAACTCACATCGTTCTTTTTGTCTGTAATGACATCTGTCCATCTTTTGCTTGGTGGTAAATCCAGATTAACAGTATACCAGGACACATCCCCTTTAAATCTAAAAGATCCAGAGATTATACACATGTTCTTATTCTCTCCCTTCAATGTGAATTACAAATTCAAAATTACATTCTAAATCATTCATATTAAGAGAAAATGAAGTTTTCGTAGATTTATAGATGAACTATGATGAAAACACTTTAAAAGATTCTTTTTTTCTTTAAGTTGGTCCAAAAAATAAAAAATTCAATACATTTTTAAATAAACCTTTTTGCACAAAAAATTACATTGGATACTGTAATATAAATGTTATGGTAATAATATAACATATACATGATATTATAATATACATCTTTTGCAATTGCATAACAATGAAACATTGCCGTTCTGTTGTTACAAAACACCTGACTTTGTTTCACTTCTTTAAAACTAAAAATTATACATTTTTCTTATTAACATCATCTTTGATCAATAAGCTGTTCAAATAAAAACATTTGGAAATATCGCTATTAATATTTTAAAATTATTTTTACATATCCGTTTCTCTCCTGTGATTCATTCGTACGGTTTGCATTTTCACCTGTTGTACATGTAATTATTGTACAGATTTAAATTTTTGGTCTCTGACAGCAGTTTTTACAGGTTGTATAATCCATCATTTCAGTTGTCATACTCACGTTGGGCCGTTTGGAGGATACATGCCACTTCGGCACTCTTCTGTGTACTTAAATGTGAACATTAGTCATTTAATTCAGTAAACTGGAGTTGTGTTGGTTATTCAGTTAAGCTTCTCTATGCCAACAGCACTGGTGATTTAGGTTATAAAACATCGCATTGACGTATACACAAACTACTGCAGTCCTGTCATAACTTAAGTTGATACGAGGATAATAGTAAAGATGCATTTGTTTTCATAAATAACAATACAAACTCTAGTTTGTGACTTACCGGTGGGACATATTGCGCAGACAAGCATATAAACACAAAAGAGAGAATAAAACAGCAGAGGTTTAATTTGGGGATCATGATGAGACGAACGCGGAAGTACCGATGATACTCGTGACGGTTCGTGATCTGCGCAAACCCACGAGACACCGGGGGAGTTACCATAACAATGAGTTACAGAATAAAAGATGACTTCGCACTTTCTGTCTTTGGGTTTGTCCCGGTTTTATTTTACTAAGCTGTACCATAATTCGCTCCTACATCAACTTTTTAAAAAATTATTATTAAATAGGCTTGTAAGGAGAAATAACAGCCGCAGAACAAGAATGCAGTTTTACCAGAGCAGACCGATAAACAAACAGGCGACTGTATCGCGACATCTAACGGTTGTAGAGGGAAGTACAACAACAAGCATATAGTTTTAAAGGCAGGGTATGTGATTTTTCAAAAACACTTCAGAAAACTGATTCGGGCCGAATAGCAAAACAAACTTGTAGCCAATCAGCAATAAGGGGCGTGTCTACTCGTGATGTGGAGGAGAGCGCGTTCAGTGCATGGGACGGACATTAGCCGACTCGAGCGACACAGAGATAGAGATGGCGGATAAAAAAACAAAACGTGTTTGTTTTGGTGATTTCAAATATCAACATTGGCTACCAGAAATCCCTTACTCTGCCTTTAAGTAGTTTTTAATCACACAAAGCGCGCAAATGTGCTCATATGAGACATTTAGAAAATTAGTAAAAAGTCTACGACATTACATTTAACTATCTTATATCTTAGATATATTTCACATGTAACTGCAATGACATTGCAGTGGAAGTACAGCATTTTACGTGTAAATCTCAAAGCGTTATCAACTGCACAGGGTTAATATTCATTATTCAATATTCATTTTATCTTCAAATGTGGCTCAACATTAATCATATTCTCACATAAATATTAAAACCCCACAAAATGACCCCACATCAACACTAAATGACTTCAGTCAGAAACATTAAGGAACCACGTTTTCCATAGATTAATCGTTCTTTTCTTTGTATGCAACAGAAAATTGGATCACAATGATGAAATTGAGATTTTGAGTTTACAATCCATTTAATTTGGGAAATCAATCAAATGTACAATCCAATATTAAACAAATTACTGTAATTTAACAAAATACTGTAACTAACAATATAATTGATAGGCTATTTAAAAACAACAACAACAAAAGATTTTCTTGTGAAAAGTGACTAGGTTTATTATAAAAAAAAAAAGGCAGAGATTCCATGACTATGTAAAATTATAATGGTGAGGAAGGGAAAAAAAACACTTCTGGTTTCACTTGCAGTATCGGTCAGCCTTCATCTTGGCTCTCCTAAAAAAGAAACAAAAAACATATGATAATACATCACTTACCACTGTAAAAGTAGAAATATTTTCATATTCACAATGTTTCAAACACCATCGTGTATGATAAATCACCCAATAGGGTATATCAACATAATCTGACACCTTTTCCTCCATCTCAGGATGATTAGCTAAATTAGCAGGCTACAGTCATTTATTATTCAGTATGATCCCAGTATGAGGTTTTTCCTCCTGAAGTCAGACGTCTCACCTGTCCAGCAGGGCCTCATGGAATTTTCCTTCTGTTCTGGCTTTTTTCAGCGTACCGCTGTCTTCCTCATTCACCCTCAGCTTCCGATCCTGAAAACTCTGGAACTTCTTCCTGTAGGCAAACATTCACATAAACATTTACTTCACTGTATGCTCAATAAACAGCACAGCTTCTGTATCTTACTGCAGGTAATAAATGCAAGCACTCACACGTAGTTGACCTCACAGTTCTTGACATCACCCCTGTCTTCATCTGCAATATCGTCTTTTCTCTTCACCTCTCTTTCTGTGCATGAACGGATCTGTGGGCAACAGATAAGCATGAAAAATATTGTTTATAGTCTTCATTCCAGAATAAAAAGGTGTAATTTGTTTTTATAATTTGACAGCAGAGAGACTTGTGTTCAGATAATAGATATTGTGCACTGCATTGGCCAAATCTGGCCACTCTCACTGAATTATTTCTCAAATGTTTGTCGAGCTTTTAGGGGCAAAGATATGGATGTCTAAAAAAAAAGCCTTGAATCATTTCCTTCAGACAACAACAAAAAAATTCCCACTTAAGCAATTCATCTTGGTGTGGACTGTGAGTTCAGGAGGGATTCACCTTGATTATCTCCTCCTCTCCCGCTGTCTTGTTTTTGGCCACTATGTCTCCGCTCTCACTGTACGAGATGAAACAACTGTTTGCAGCAAGTAAGGCCATTTTACCCTATGGCAACAAAAATAAAAGAAATGGTAAAACCTGATTTTCAAAACTTTTCAGCCTAATGTACCAGAGTTATTCACATTCATACAAATTGAAGTATTTTCATTGTGACTGGTGAATTGATTTGATTGGCAGATTCACTCACATCCTGAAACACTGGTTCCCACTGCTCTCTGGAGCCGATGGCATCTGATCGACCAACCACAACACCCTCTGAGTTTATACCTAAATACTTCCCATAGCCTGACTTCAGCGCTATCCTACACACCAGCAAAACAAATAAGAAAAAAAATTTGTCACATGATCAAAATAACTTAATTAGCTACAGAACATTACAAGGTGCTTATGCATTTAAAGGTGCTGCTAAGCAGCTGCAGCCAGTTTGCTACGTTTTACTGAACACTTGAACACCGATAAGCCCATCACTACTTACCACACCTAGTTATAGATATAGATATGGTCATGATCTTTACCTGGAGTCTGAGACTCTGATGGCAGTGAACTGCTCTGGAGGATCTGGGCCTTCATCGTCTGCAAACACAAAACATACATTTTTTAAAACTCGAAGAGTTCATTTGCAAAAACCGATACACCCCACTTAAAAAAAAAAGAGCTGATTGCCGTGCATTATTCTCCACATATAGCGCGATCTGAACCCTCAAAACAACCCAACTGCAGTTTGATTGATATTACTTGGAATGCGCAATAAAAAAAAAAACGTGATTTCTGAAAAAAATAAATAAAAATTGAGTTATAGGTTTTTGCAAATGAACTCTTCCCTTGTTTACATTACCATTCAAAACTCTGAAGTCAGTACGATTTTTAAATTTTTTTTAGGGGTGCGCATTTCCAGTGACAATGTTTAGATTTGAAATCAAAATAATGGATACATGTTGTGCTTGTGGTAAATAGCCTCGGATCAGTAGCGGACTCCTGTGTGAAAGCTGCAAGTATCACTATAAATAGTTATAAATGATAAATAGAAGGCTTTAAAAAGATCGGTATCGGTGATCGGATGATACTGCTGTCTGTGATCGGCGATCGGCCTCAAAAATCCTGAGCAGAGCACCCCTAATTTTTTTAATTAATTAATTTACTTTTTTAAAAGTCTTTTCCTATGCTCACCGAGGCTGCATTTAGTTGATAATTACAGTAAAAAAAAAAAAAGTACTTTTGTTGATTATTATTCCTGTATGCCAAGCTGAATTAATACTGAAGTTTCAGCATCATTACTCAAGTCTTCATGATCATTCTAAAATGTTGATTTAATGAAAAATTTCTTATTGTTATCAATGTTGAAAACAGTTGATTTCTAGTTTTGTGGAAACTGTGATACATTTTTCAGGACACTTTATGAATAGAAAGGTCAAAATTACAGTATTTAGACATTATAAATGTCTTTAATGTCCATCTGGATTAACGTAAAAGCATCCTTGCGGAGTAAAAGTATGAATTTATTTCCAAAAAAAATAAAAAATCTTACTGACCCCAAATGTTTGAATGGTAGTCTATATTTACTGTGTATAATTGCACTATTACTGGAGATGAATCTAGCATTTCCATTCCACAAAAGAATTCAGAGCTGCCACACATTTATAACTGAATAATTTCCACGTCATCAAAGTTTTCATGGCTGAAGATTTATAAGAATATGAAACGATGCTGGAAAGTGCTGCTATAAGAAAATCAAATACAGAGAACAAAGTCTTGTAACTCAACTCATTATACTGCCTGAAGTCCTGAAGTATTTTAACAGTTATTTGTTTTTCAACCATGAATGACTGAACAAAAGAAAGCGTAATGCTGAAAGCTGATATTCTATTCTATCTGCTCCACGGGCATGATAAACTCATGAATTAGCTAAGATATTGAATTCTGCAAGAACCTTCAAATGATAATCTCAAAAAGTTACTGAGTAGCGTGTGTGTGTGTCCATGTTTTTCGCCTGGAGAGGTGTGGGAATCATACAGATGCACTGGTCATGAATTGGGTGTCAACAACAGTTACAATCTTTCATTTACTAATTTCAGGTCTCAACCACTAAATTAAATTGATTTTAGAGAGCGTGCACAAATTTCATGGTGCTTCCAGAGTGATGTAGAGACCGATCCTTACAGCCAGCGGTCAGTGAAAAGCAGAAAATGAGGCTGGAAAGAAAAACAATCGCAAACAACTCCTTCTGGTGACTGAACTATGAAATTGCTCTGTGCTTTGCATGAACGGCTGCCGTAATGGCGACTGACCAACCATAACATTATTCAGGTTTTTAAATCCCACACTGAGAGCAAAAGAGAAACAGCAGCACCTAGCCATCTCTACTTTCGAGACTTATTTGTTCCGCGCTATTAGAGGGACCTTTTCAATTTAAAAGACAATATAAAAACTGCATGGCATGGCTGAAAAAAATACAATGCGGTATAAATTGCAGAGATTTGCCTGTTGCCAGAAAATACTGCAGATAGAGCTTGTAAAGTGTATTTTAAAACATAGGCCTTAAGAATAAAGCATTTCATTTCCAATAAATGTTCTAGTTCATTTAAACCAACTCATCACTATATTAATGCACTTGCTCATCACAAACCGTGTCCACTAATGAGCCAAGGCCATCCTACACACACAACCATTTTTGTACATTTTGTAAATGTTTACCTTAATTTGTTTGATTATTTAAATGTGTTAATTGAGGTCCATTTATAATGTTAGTTTGTTAGCTTGTTTTGAAATTCACAAAAGAAAGGTACAGATTTGACGTGGACATTTTAATGTAATTTACTAGCCAACTACATTTTAAGGAAACATGAGTTTAAAAAACACAGTAATAAATATGATGCATACATGTGCTTAACTGATTTTGAATGTGAATTTTTAAAACTACTTAAATATTAAGTAATTTGTTTAAAAATCATTTTAAAACTTGCTTCCTTATATTATACATTATATGAAGCACTGGTCTAAAGAATATACTTTTAATTCTCAAAAAAATATATATTTTCTTCAGGGAATGGAGGTAATGCCACCCTGTTTATTATTTAAAAATGATTCAAAATAAGACAGCAAGTAAGATATATCTGTGAATCTATTTAGCAAAGCTAAAAGATCTGTTTTGCCAACATAACTTTCAGGAGTTTAATGAAGCAAACAGAATCAGCACCTTTATGAGGAGCTCCTACAGTGAAGAGTCCAGTGTCCAGCGCATGAATGAAGGACTTTCTGTGCATCTCAATGGCCACTGAGCCTGTGATCTCACCGAAACTCTTCACTGTCCACCATCCTCCTGAGGACACACATTCACAAACACACACAGGCTCATATCATGCATCATAAACACTTCCAACAAAAATATAGCTATTAGGCAGATCATAGAGCATTTACAAAAGAACTATCTATCTGTCTGTCTATATATCATCTATCTGTCAATCTATCTATCTATCTATCTGTCTGTCTGTCTGTCTATATATCATCTATCTATCTATCAATCTATCTGTCTGTCTATATATCATCTATCTGTCTATCTATCTGTCTATATATCATCTATCTGTCAATCTATCGGTCTGTCTATATATCATCTATCTGTCAATCTATCTGTCTGTCTATATATCATCTATCTGTCTGTCTATCTGTCTATATATCATCTATCTGTCAATCTATCTATCTGTCTATCTATCTGTCTGTCTATATATCATCTATCTGTCTATCTATCTATCTCTGTCTGTCTATATATCATCTATCTGTCTATCTATCTGTCTGTCTGTCTATATATCATCTATCTATCTATCTATCTTTTATAACTCCATGGACAAAGTGACAACATACGTACCAACGACATCCAGCTTGTCTTCATCATCTCGTTTTCTCTTTTTGTCCTTGTTCTTTTTCTTCTTTCTGCACAATTTGGAAGTCGCAGGCCATAAATTATCGGAAATAATTCTGATATTATCATAACTGTTACATCAATTAGTACAGTAACTGTAAACATTAAGGGGAAACTATACATTTTCATAAACTTTTGTTCGAACGTAACGTTAATACAGAGTGAAAGCCTTACTTTTTATCGTTTAATCCTTTCAGGACCAGCTTGGTGGACTTGACGTGTGAGTACTCGGTCATGATCAACTGAATTAAAACGCTTCTGTGGGATTATCATACATTGTTATTCACGCCTTGAAAGCGTTTTCCTGCAACAGCGCTCTCTGTGTGTACGGTGGCCGAAAGGAGTCAAAGCACCGCACTGAAGACGCGCGGCTGAGTTGAAGCGCGACACCCATCGGTCGGAGAAATATAGAAAGTGTGGTGGTGGCTTGAAAAATTGTTAATTGTGATTTCTCCAGTGCTTATTGTGGTTGTGTCCGAAATCACATTCTTTCTGAGGAGGTAGGCCTTCTTCTTTTGAATAAGTAATTACTTTGCAATCACAACTGTTAAAAATGCGTTATTTGCTTTTTTAAACACATTTTCGTACTTACATAGTATGAATGTGTGTGGTATTAACATTATCTGGATGTATTTGTACTATCTCTGTAATGTGACTTATAGTATCAGCTGCATCGCTTCACTGCCATTAACAGCGTTTCTCCCGAGGCCTCATGGGATAGAAAAGTGTCCTTTGGATGCACGCTTCAGACTTTCACTGGAAGTAGGAGGTGATCAAGGTTGAACGTGTTTTATGAATGCTATGAATTCCAACATGCTACTCGTCTTCTCACACCTAAGTATAGTATGGAAATATGCATATTCGCATGCAGCCTCAGTCGAGTGTACTTGACTTTCCATTTCCGGTGTGATGGATGAACAAAAAGTTTTACAACATTTTTAATTTATGAATCTATTTCTTGACTCAGTATTTTATTGGACTGCCAAATCTTAAGACATTTTACACAAAATTAAAAAGGAAAAAAATTTTTTTTTTTTTTTGTTTGTTTCTTAGCTAAATATCTGATGGTATTTTCTACTAAGAAAAAAGTACACACTTTTCTTTAGTATGCCATTTGTATCTCTTTACATTTCTTACATCCTTAAGGTGAAGTGAAGTGGATCCTGCATATGAGAACCTGCAGACACGTATACATATGTGAGAATAATTACTTGCTTGTGTGTGTGCCTATGTGACAAATGTGTACACACTGTACTGTAGAAGTGCAAAATCTGACATTATTTACCAAAACCTGCATTATATTTTGTAAAAACAGTACATGGGGGGTGCATTCCCCATGTTCCCAACATTTTGGCCTGCTTTGGGAAGGCAGCTTATAAATCTTACTTTTTTTTAATGTAAAAACAGGGAGGGTCTTTAGGGGTAGGGTTATGGTTAGAGGATATACAGTCACCATGTCTATGGTGTCCTCATAAAACACAGGTTGTGTGTGTGCAAGCTTGTGTTGCTTCTACCATGGTTTAATTCACAGGGTGTGGCAGAAAGGATAGGTTATTGCCAGATTGGTTATCAGACTGGAGAGAGAGAGTGTGTCTCCAGTCCAGGCCCTTTTCTCTCCAGACACAGCGTCTGCCATTAGTGAGCCACCATTTAAACCAAAATAGCTCTGAACATGGCAAAGCCCTCTTATTTAAAACCTCAGCAGACCACTGTAAGAACGAAGCGCTGGAGTACAAACACACGCACGCACAATGTGGACTCGTTACTGTGTTGTTTGTTTCGTGACGTCACGGACACTACGTCCATGTTTTTATACAGTCTATGGTTTCAATGCATCCTTTTAAAGGTCCAAATCAATCAGTTCAAATGTATGGCATTAAAAGCTGGACAAAACAGCGCAAGCGGATTACAGTACTGTGCGCACAGTGACAGCTCGCACGTAAAATGTAAACCTGAAGAAATGGCCAATTCCAAACTCGAGCACAAAAAATATGATTGTGTGTATACACATCAACACGCGCGAGCTGAACTCTTCACGCACAGGAAGTTTTGACAGTCAGGGGGCGGGGCCCCAACATATGCTTGCTGTGTTAACAAATGCTATTGGCTGCTCGTCTTCGGACTGGCTGTTGATTGGCCCTCTCCTGAGGACGAAGATGATGACAGACAGTAAAGAGGTAAGTTTTCTTTCTAAATTCATACTTATATCCTATTAGCGCTAAGATTTTTATAATGACATCTACATCGCTGAGCCGTTTTAGGTAGGCGTGGTTGACTCTTAACTTTTATAAACAATATCTCTTTGGATTTGAGACTTTAGTCTTTGCAACTTTACAGATCTTCTTTATGCACCAAGAGCTTGTAACACTCCAAAGAGAAAGGAAAAATTGAAATCGCATCATATGACCCCTTTTTAACACATTAGAAGACCAAATTCAGTATAGCTACACCTTGATGATGCAAACTGTGTTTTTGTGCACTGGTCCGCTGCTGCGCGTGTCTGACCTGTTTCAAATGGCAAACGCTTTAGCAGTTCAGTACTTTTCACCAGACCAAGCGATCAAGACATTTCTCCGTAACACAATGTTACAAGAAAGACTGTTGAGATTAGCTGTTCTGAGTAATGAGAATGCCCGTGCTCTCAACATCGACATTAAAGCTGCAGTCAAAGACATTGCGCACCAAAACACTCAGAGAGCACAAAGGATGCGGTAGAGTGTTTGCTTGTTTGTTTGTGGTAGTCAGTGATAAAATTAATAAATAAGTTAATCGTCAAAAGTTGGTATGTTAAAATGTAAAGAAAGTTAGTTTTTCTTCAAATGTAGCGTATAGCCACGAGTTATTCCTTTAATGTTTTATATAACTTTATTTATTTATTTTACTGTTCATTTTCTGCAAGACATGAATTTTGCTTGTATAATTTCTTTACTACAGTTAGCGATGCTTATGTAGGCCAGTGTTTGAACTGAGACGTGTGCTGGCCATTATAGCACATTAATTTTATTGAGCTTACTGTTAAATAAAATATGTAGACTGCTATGGGGGCCTATAACAGATGTATGTGTATTATTGTTGAAGGATCCTCCTGCTATTGCTAAAATAATCAAATCGGAGCGTCAAATCAAATCGCAGCGTGTTGGTGTATATACACACAATCATATTTTTTACGTGCGAGCTGTCACTGTGCGTATACTGTAATTCGCTTGCGCGCTGTTCATGTGTTCATGCGCTTGCGCTGTTTTGTCCAACTTTTAATGCCTTACAAATCAGTTACACAGGGACAGTCCACTGAGGATCAAACTCTGCTAATGACGATCATTAAAGGGTGGCCTGTTGAAGAACTGGTCAGAGCTTGCAATAAATCATAGTGTGACACTGCCAGGAAGTAAAATAAACAAGACAGCTGCATTCTGGGCTTTAAATGCAAACAGGTGAATGAGTTGAACAGGGTGACTAAAGGAACAGCGAAGAGAGCTTGCATGTGGTAGACTAGGCATAAGAACCCTTAATTGATTCCAGATATCCCAGACAGACACTGATACACACATAAATAGAAAACAACCTGCTAAAAAGTAAATGGATGCCAACATTATTTTCTTTCTAAGATGGTGGCTTACATTAAATGCAAAATAGTATGCATATCAGCCATATCAGATTATAATCTTCTAAAAGACTTGCAGCAGACACGCTTAATCATAAGTGATAAGACTAAAGGAGCAGGATGGGCTGCTGCGGTGATGGGATTGTTTAATGAGATGTTTGTAATTGTATATGTTCGTTGGTGTCTTTCTCTTGTCCTTGTTGAAAGGCTTTTTGTCTCCATGTTCGGCCTGCCCCATTACCTCCGCCTCTCAAGTGGAATAGAAAATGTATCATGCTTAGCAAGCATCAACGTGGTATGAGACACAAAGCAATTGGGGATGGCGAGGAGGAAGAGCAAGGGAAAGATAGCTTAATATATATAGTTTAATGAGCTTAGTCTTTCATTTCCTCCCAAGGTGCCAGTCATCAGTCAAGTGGTTGGCTATAGATAGTGACTGGTCTGACTTTCAAAGTAATATAAGGCATGATATAGTGCCAACTGTAACAGAATGGCTGACAGCGTATCATTGGAAACAAGTATAAGCTTATAAATAGTAGTTATGTAAGTCAGACCAACTCTTCATAGACTTTTTCCATCCTTAATATATATATATATATAGAAATTTGTTTTACATTTTTTTAAAATATAATATTTTCTATTAAAATATAAGATATTTTACCTGTTTGCTGAGTTTCACAGCTCACTAATGAAAGGTCATGTCATAATTTTCTTGCTGCTCCAGAGTGATTAGTCACATGATGTTTTATGGCTCATGTGATTGGCTCAAAACAGCTCTGCCGTATAACTGAGTGCCCACGAGCAAACACGACAGATTTCATATCACATACTTCTGGGATTGGGGGGTGATTGATGAACTTCATAGCTGAATGAATTCAGATGAGCCAAATGCAATCAAACACACATAAATATGCCAATGTTAGTGAGAAAATGCATTTAATCGTTGGCATGAATGTCTATTCTGAGGCCAGCTGTTATTTTTAGCCAGAATAATCAAAAGCAACTAATATCACAGATTTTCAGTTTGGAAGCTGCTTCCAAATCACAACTAAAAACAAAAATTAAGATCAAAACGTGACTTGTTTTAGAGCCAGCGCATGCTGTTTCTCGCTCTCGCCAGGGAAACCATTAGGGACTGAGCCAAATTTAATTTGGGGACTGCACTGAATTTAGCTGAACAATGTGTTTTTCCAGAATGGAAGCAAATTAAAGAAATTTGTATTTGAAACATCCCCACTCTAATCTTCACATGCAATTTGGTGTTACAGCACATCATGCAATTTAATCTAATTTAATTTGGAAATAAAGTCATTAAAAATAATAAGAAAAAACAAGAAAAACTGTTAATTAAGTAATAGATAATTAGATATTTATAGTAAAAAATAGATTAGCTATAGTAATAGATCATTTAAACAAAAGTCTTAATTTGGAGGGGGTTCTCATCAGTTTTTATACATGCAAATAATCGGATTAATAAATCAGCATATCGTGTCATTAATTTGATTACAAATATTATTATTTTTTACATTTCAGTTTATATGTATTTTTCAGAGATTTAAGGTTGACTATGCCTTGCAACTTCACATATGTACCTTGCTTCTTTCTTTATATGTCTCAATTTTTTTTTTCTGTTTATGGTGTGGCAGTGTACAGCAGTGTACTGTGGTTGCTTGTACATTCTCTGCAGAGACACAGGAGTGTTGAGAAGATAACCCCGCCCCCATGAGGTGTTACAAAGAAAACTACTGTGCACGAGACAGCGACAGGCTGTCTTACCGAAAACCTCCGATGGGAGCTGTGCGTCATATTTGACAATGACTGACAGAAGAAATA